TTGCTTTTCGGATTTTGTCAATTTTGAGCGAAGAACAGTTCTTACCAAAGAAAAATGGAGCAGCACTGAACAGCACCCTAGACAAGCTAGTCATAAAAGTAAGCGTGTCTGCTCTCGCAGTCTCATTTTCATCTTTTTGGTATTTTGATAAATTCAGTAACTCATAAGGTGCTACTATTTCTTTGTCAGATGGTTCCTATAGAAAATCAAAATGGTCGCAAACGTGTTGAATCTGGAGATCTTTGTGAACGCAGAAATGGTAACCATCTTTTGTCTTTCCAATACATGGTTATGAATGCGTTTGTTTAGCATTTCATCTTGTACCATATCCGTAAATCACAGGAAGAGGAGTTGACCTGAACCGAAATTGGGGTGTTGACTGGGGCAAGAAAGAAAAGGTACTGATTCCTTTCAGTGCACATTTTACCTCCTTCAAGATCCTTTGTTAATCTGTAACGGTCGGTACTTGGTTCTTTTTGTTTGTTTTCGGCATTTCCAGGATTATGATCCATCTGAAGAGAATCCAGGAACCGGTCCGTTTAGTGAGCCTGAGACTCAAATAATGCGGAAGCTAGCGATATCGTTTGATCCTCACATATGGATTAACGTGCATTCTGGAATGGAGGTGATGTTTCTTTTCTACTTTAGTGTTCTCGTGTATACATTCGAACTTTCTAGCATGGGAATAAAGGTTAAAACTTCTGTGTGAATGATGGATGCATGAATGTTCACATGTTTTTTAATGTAATTCTTGAGTAGCTTGATTCTGATTTCTCATGTTTTGTTCACATTTTGTAAATTGTATAACAAACAAATCTTGATCTGGTCTTTGTTATGTATTTGTTGAGAAGTTTTATTCTGATTTCTCATATTTTCAGGCTCTCTTTATGCCGTATGACCACAAAAACATAACACCAGAAGGATTGCCTTCACAGAAGATGAGGACCTTACTCGAAAAACTGAATAAATTTCATTGCCATAACCGCTGCATGATTGGCAACGGTGGAGGCTCTGTTGGGTTTGTCTCTTTCCTAAATACTTTTCATGAGCATTCTTTTCAATTTAACTTTTGTTTGAGACTCCTGATAGTTTACATACCCCTGAAAGACACTTTTCTTGACTTGTTTTAATTGGTTTCCTGGACTTTAGATACCTTGCACATGGTACAGCTACGGATTATATCTATGATGTTGTAAAGGCACCAATGGCATTCACCTTTGAGGTTTGTGTGACAGAAGCTACTACCTACGCTCGACACTTTCATGAAAACCGGTGTTGCATATTTTTATAACTATTGCTATCACTGTCAGATATATGGGGACGACCAGACCTCTCCAAGAGATTGCTTTAAAATGTTCAACCCTGTTGATCTACCAAATTTCAAGGTACTGTTTTGAACTGTACCATTTTGAATTGTACCATATTTTTCAAGAAAACTCACCACTTTGCTTGATGTTATTACTCAGAGAGTTCTCAATGATTGGTCTGCTGCATTCTTCACACTTTTCCAACTGGGACCGCTCCACTTAGACGGAAACAGTTCCAAGGCTGCAGATAAATGGGTGTCGATAGACGAGTATTTGGACGGCTACCTGGTGGAAAGGAAGAACAGATATGGGAAAAACATGGAAGTAATCGATGTCGGAATGCAAGAGATAAAAACTTACTTCAGGCTCTTCTTGTTGTCCTCGGTACTTTTGATGTTCATGTTCTGTTCCAGAATAGCCAAAAGCAAGTATAGTAGAAACCCCATACCTGTTAGTGTCATGCCATGAAAACTATTTGGAGGAAGCTCTCATTTAATTAACCCTTGTAAGTTAGTAATTTTTTTGGTTACAAAACTTGTATTCCTCAATTAGGAATGGTGTGGCACAAACATAATTCTTTGGATTTGAGATTGATTCTTAAAGTAAAGGAGCTTTGGTTTATAACTTCCAACGTATAAAACTTCCTACATGATCTCTGTAGTACCAGACAGCAGTTATATATTTGTACATGTTGAATCTTTACATAGACAGAGAATGTGAGGATTTGTATGAAAGACTTCCTCGTGTGATCTGTGGTCTGTGTTGTAACATCTCTGTCCTCATCTTGTGAGATAGTTTCAGAAGCTCGAGATTAAATTGATCACTTGAGCTCAAGATAAAACCTTTAGCATTGTTCCCCTATGTTTCTATGAGGCTCTTAACGTCTGCTTCATGTATCTTAGAGCTGACCGTAACATGGATCGAGCTTTTCTATCTGGTTTGCAGCCTGACATGATCATCTCCTCGTAAACACCCGGTACCTATAAAACCATCACATCGTGAAAAGGTCAGTCCTACTTTACTAGTACTTCCCTATCAATCGAAATCAAAGATTCATACCTTTTGGAACTTATCAACACGAATGAGCGCTTTCATGAGTGTCGTGTATGTTACCACGTCTGGCTTTACACCCTGCAATTGTTTTGTAAGAGAAGGTTGTTAGTAAGTAGTTCGTTAAGATGGGTTTAGCCAAGAGAAGTTATTACATTTTCTTTCATGTACTGCAACACGGCGAAGGCTTCTGCGTCTCTTCTATCCTCACCAAAGGCATTGATAAGGGAATTGAGAGCTAACAAACTCGGCTTTAGTCCATCTGATGTCATCACTCTAAATGCATTCACAGCTTGCTCTGATAAACCCTGTTAACAGAAGAATCATGAAACTATGATCAGTATCAAATGAAGTTTCTCTTACTATATCTCTCATATACACTATGAACAGTCATAATACCCTTTGTGCATAGGCATTGATAAGGGCATTGTACATGGTCGATGATGGTTTTAGCCCAACTGACTTCATCTCTTCCAAGCACTCTATTGCATCATTGAACCTACCCGATTTGCCATAAACGTCAACGAGTGTTGTATGTGTCACAACGTTAGGTAATATTCCTTGGCTCTTCATCTTTCCCAACAATCTTTTCATGTCATCCCATCTTTCTTGATCTCCATAACTATTAATCATAATGTTATAAGTTGTAGCACAAGGCAAGCACCCTCGCCTCTCCATTGCCTCAAACATATCTTCCGCTACTATGTGCCGGCCATGTTTACAATGACAATCGATAAGCGTATTCCAAGTCACCCTATCGGGTTCAATCCCTTCGCTTAACATTCTATCAAAAGTCGTCATTGCATGATCAAGACAGTTAAACTTCCCAAAGGTATCGATAACAACGTTGTAAAACTGTCTATCGGGCTTAACACCGATGCTCTTCATCTCCTTGAGAACTTGAAATGTCTTTTGCCACTCGCCTCTATCGCGATAACCAGCTAAGAGTCTACTGAAAACAAAAGAGTTAGGCTGTACATCACCAGCTTCCATCTCTTTCAACACAATTCTCGCACTTTCCCATCTACCTGCATTCACATACGCATCAATAAGAAGACTATACGTATGTTCATCAGGCGAAACACCTCTCTTCTCCATCTCTGAGACCATCGACTCCGCATCCTTTAAAGGACCTGTCTTCACATACCCTTTAAGCAACGCATTATAAGCTTTAGTTCTTGGCTTTATCCCACTCTGTCTCAACTCCTCAAACAAAGCTTCAGCCTCATCAGTCCTACCAGAACTCGCTAAAGCCGAGATAATCGACACAAGGGTAGCAGTTTTCGCGCTCAACCCCGTGGCTTGAGCCATACCAAGAAGCTGCAAAGCCCTAGAAGGATCACCAGACTTAGCGAAACCCATGATAATATCATTAACAAGCTGCACATCAAACTCAAGCTTATCCCTTTCAATCTCTTTATACAATCTCTGCAACATAACAGAATCAATCTTGTTACTACGCGTCAAAGACTGAATCACCAAACTATAGTTAACAAAATCAGATTGATAACCATCTTGACGCATCTTAGATATCAAATTAAGAGCCTTTTCTATATCATTGTTCCGAGCACAAGCACCAATTAAGGCATTGTATGTTAAAGGTGTTAATGTCTGTTTCTGAGAAAGTAGAAACGCCTCGTAAAGCTTCTCGGACCGGCCAAGAGCGTGAATGAGAATTGAGTAGAGAAGCTCATAAGAGAAACAGAGGTTATGTTTTTGTAGCCATGAGACAACTGCGTAAGCTAAACCAAGAGATGACGTCGATGAAGATAAAGATTTTATCAATGAGTGCCAGTATGGTGCTGGTACAGCTCTGTATGATTCAGCTAGCTCGAACTCTACTGGTTCGAGAGATGTGTCTGTGTTTGTGTCTGATTTTGATTCTGAATCGAGAACTAACTCGACTGGTCCGAATCTGGATAAGTGTTTTAGAAGTGGAGAGAAGTCGTAGCGACGGTGAACCTCTGTGGTGAATTCATCATCTTCTTCTTCTTTGGGTTTATCTAAACCATTCCATGAAGAGAAGTAAGAAGATGATGATGATGGAGATGAAGCAGAGGCGGTGGCAGAGAAGGCTGAGATTGGTGGTTGGAAGAAGCGGTGGTGGTGGTTGTGGTGGTGGTGGTGAGTGAGGAAGTAGAGAGAGTGAAATCGAGATGAGACCAGTGGTGGTTGCAAGAGAAGCATAGTCTTCTTCTTGTTTTTCTTGTTCTTCAATGGCGTCGTAAGAAATGAAGAAGCTTTTTTCTCTTTTTTTTTTTTTTTTGGGGTTTTATCGTTTTTTGTGGTTGCGAGTAAAGTGGATGTGTTGTTGTGTGTACTGTCCTATCGTCTACTACTGTTTGATTCATCTCGCTCTCTCTCTCCGTCTCTAATATTATTTTTGGGAAAATTAGAAATAAGAGACATTTTTTAAAAACTTTGTCCGTATATACTTTTTTTAAAAATGTTTGATGAACGAAGATTTTTAAATGATTAAAATCCATTTATATCCTCAATTATAATTAATTTTAAATTAAAACTATTTTATGTTTTATTTTTATTTTAAAGAAATAAAAACCAATTGATTATTGAAAAAATACAATAATACATATAATACATAAAAAGAAAAATCAGAAAAAAAACAAACCCTTGAAGCCTCCGCCTCTTCTTCTCCGACGAAAAACAAAGAGTCTCCTTGGTTTCTCACTGTATATTTCCTCCTTCAAAATCAAAAGAACAAAACCCTTTTCTTCCACTTTGCCTTCTCCGCCGTTTTAGCTCTGCCACGCCTGCGCCGCCTCTGCTACTCCGCCGAGCCTGCTCCACCACGGCTGCGCCACCTCTGCTGCTCCGCCGAGCTTGCTCAGCTTCTCCTTCTCCGATTGTGTATGATCTCCTCCTTCTTCTTCTTTCTCACTGAAATTTGTGCTTCTCCTTCACCGAGCCTTCTCCGCTTCTCCTTCTAAGATTTGTCTTTTGTTGTTGATTTTTGTACTTACTAGGTGTTGGGTTGTTCTTCTCTCGCCGGCAACTGAATCGTTCTTGAGATCCTTTGTCTGTACAATTGCGAAGTGAGATCCTTTGTTCTAAGAAACAAGTAAGTTTTTGTTAATTCGTAGTTTCATTCATTATTTCTTCTATGTTTGGTTTCATCTCTTGATTCTTTCTTTCTTAATTAGTAATTCTGGTTTCTTTCTACAGGTTGATCCTCTTACTCATCAAGTCTTAATTAGTAATTCTGGTCTCTTTCTACAGGTTGATCTTCTATGTGTGTATAAACGTTTTTACTACTTTATTATAGGCTTATATTCATTTTTTTATATGTTCGATTGTTAAAGTGTGTGTGTTAATCAACTTTTGTTCGTTTATAAGCTCTGTCTCATCTTCAGTTCGTCCCTTATGTGTGTGTATGTGTTTGAGTGTAATGAGTTATTGTAATGAAACAGTTGTCTCTAGATGAAATTTTAGTCTTTAGATGAAATGTTAGTCTTTAGATGAGTTGTGTATTAACGTTTTTTAAAGTGTGTGTACTTAGATGAGTTGTGTATTAAATGTTAGTCTTTTTAACGTTTTTCTTGGTGTTAAACATTTGAATTTGTTGATTGCTTCTCCTGCTCATCAATCTTTTTTTTTTTTTTTTTTTTTTTTTCCTGCTCATCAATCTTATATAAGTCATTGCAATAGGAAGATCCTTAATGTTGTGTACGCTTATTTCTCATCTTCTTTTCTTCTCTAGTTTCTCAAAAGTTTAATAATAAGGTGTTATGAATGATGCCAGGAAACGTGTTCCTGAAGCATGGGTCTGAACTAAGACTGATCCTTGCTTTCCTTGCTCGCGTTGAACAGAGGTAATTTTGTTTGCTGATTTAAAGTATTCAGTTGTTGTTTTGTTTGTTCGTGAAGGATGAATCTATTAAGGCTCATTTTCTATGGAATGTTTTATATTAATATATCTAAAACAAGTGTTTGTGTGAGAGCATCTAAAACGTTTAAGTCACATCTCTGTTTTTTTTTATCTTGGTTTTTTACAGGCATGGCACAAGAGTATCCAAAACGTTTTATGAGAGCTGGAAATGAGCCCAAAGTGAGTCAGATTAACAATTCATGTCGAATGTCTATTTTAGATAAGATCAAGAAGGCATTACCAGCTGAGTATGATATAGTGAAGAGTGATCATGTCTTCGCACATGTGTTTGCAATACATGAAAACGGTCTCGGGTATTCGGCTCGATTGATACATAGCATAATGTGTAGGCAATTGGTAACGAAGAAAAAACATGAGCTCTGGTTTGTGTTTGGAAAGAAGCCACTCAGATTCTCTATGTAAGAATTTTATGCAGTTACTGGGCTAAAGTGCAAGGATGACTTCTCTGGTGATTTAGAAACTTGGAAAAAGACAAAGGGGTTTTGGAGTAAATTGTTGGATGGAGAGGAGATTATTACCATGGTGAAGTTGATGAAGATCCACCTTGAAGCAGCTCCCAACTGGAGTGAAGTTGATAGAATTCGATTTGTGTATATTTCTGTGATTTGTGGGTTGGTAATGGCTATGGATGAGAAAAAGGTTATACCAGTCACTTACATCAAGTTGGTGATGGATCTTGAGAAGGTTAGGACTTATCCTTGGGGTCTTTTAGCTTTTGACCATTTAGTTAAGTCTATTGGGAAGGCAAGATCTAAATTGAGGAACACCACAAGTTATATCCTCGATGGTTTCTCATATGCACTTCAAATATGGGTTATGGAAGCAATTCCTGTCATTGGAGAACTGTTGGGAGAGAAGATTGATAAGAAATATTTTGCTCGATGTTCTTATTGGAAAGGCTCTGCAAAAGTATCATATGATGAACTTATTGTCATAGAAAAGTCAATTGGAACAAAGGTTAGTTAACTCATGTACTTTTATTTGACTATAATGTTAGTGATTGTTTATGTGTCTTCACTTAGTTGTTATTGAACGTGAAATTAAACGTGTGTGTATAGTGACTATAGTGTTATTGAACGTGTATACAAATTATAGTGTCTTCACGTGTATACAAGTTATAGTGTCTTCACGTGTATACTTTTATTATACTGTTATTGAACGTGTATACAATCTAACGTGTATACTTTTATTTTTCCACTTTTTTCAGGATGTTGTATACGCATACATTTCCTCCACAGGAAATTATGATGTATTTGACCACATAGAATTTCTTAGAGTTGATGAAACATAAGATGGCAAAGTGGATAACTTGAATGCCTTGGTTAGAAGTGGATATAATTTTGGAGATCATATTTGGGAAAGTGTTGATGATGTACTTGATGAAAATGCTGACGATGTTGTAGTGTCTGAAGATGAGAATGTGAACACTCAACTTAGTGATGAAGACAACGAATTGTCTGGTTTGCAGAGTACTGAGAAGCAAACCGATAAGGTTGAAGTGGCTGGTTTGAAGAAGAGGAAGAAGAAGGACGGTGATGTTGGAACAGAGGCACGGAAAAGGAGTTTGCTATGTCAGTGTGCATCAACGGCCAATTGTACTTTTGATGAAGAAATGAAGTCATTTGTCAAGGGAGTGACTGAATCCTCTTTTACGGCTTTTACAGAGAGCTTTGAAAAGAGATTTAAAAAGATGGAGGAAGATGTTTCAGAAATCAAGGAGTTGATATGTGGAGCTAGAAGAGCTCCGACTATGCCACCACCCAATCCTCCAGAAGTGGAGCCTAAATCTACGGTAAGTAAAAAATAGCTCTATGTATTGTATGCTCTATCAATCTTCAGTGTAATTGCTTTGTCTCTTCTCTCCCTTATGTTGTATTTGTAGCCCATGGGTATATGACATTTGTATTGTAAAACTTAAACGTATATTATATAAACGGTGATGTTTTTGTTTCTTTTGACAGGTTGAAACATTATTATTTGACGATATGGGCACCTCCCCTTTTGAAATAGACCTCAACTTAGATTCACAAGAATTAGGTCAATTATCTCAAAAAACAACGGTGCCTGGATTTGATCCATCACAATGTTTTCTTAGTGGAGATATTGACAAGCAACCAAAAAAAGAAGTTGATGCATCAGTTGACAAGAAAAAAATAATAATTCGAAACGCGGGTAAGGACAGCATTGATCCTTTATTGACGTTCGTTTCTGATGAATTATGGGATGCTTATGAAGCTTGGAGTTTTCGGTGTTTGCGTTTCGAGTAAGTATTTTTTAGAATAACCAATCATTTTTAATAATTTTTTAATTTTATGATAACACAATGATTTTGCTGACAGAGTTCTTAAGTTGGGCCCGACTTCACTTAATCACAAGTTGTTTGATAGAATCATAATGAACAACTACTGGCTTCAAAACGATGTAAGTCTCTTCCTCTTTGAATTATTAACATTCTTTTAAAGAATAAAAATTATATTTTCTTAACAATTTAATATTTTCAGGAAATTGATGCTATGATGTATATCTTTCGAGAGCATACATCATTAGGCCGATTACCGTCAAGTCGTGTTGGTTTTATGAATTGTATGTTTAGCATGCTAATCAAGACCGAACACGCGAAGTACTTGAAAGATAGACGGAGCCACAAGTGGAGTATTGATCTTTTAGATTATGCAAACGGTGAATTACCATCGCATGGAAAGACGCGAAAATGATGGGCCACGGATTTTGATAGAATTTATGCTCCGGTCTTCGTTAATGGTAATCATTGGATTTCAGTTTGCATTAACTTCATTCTTAAAACAGTTGAAGTATTTGACTGTGATCGACACTACAATAGAAGGCATGTGGAACCATTCGCAGCTGCTATCCCTCGTATTGTAAATGAAATTCACAGTAAGGTTGATGGGAAAGTACCGTTGTTGACACAATATCAGATCATACACCACTCTTTGCCGCCTAACTTAAATCGCTCATGTTGTGATTGTGGTGTTTATGCGCTGAAATACATCGAGTGTCACATACATTTGCAAATTTATAACCCACAAAACAATATCAATAGACTAGAGTTCGAGATTGGTGAAGCACTACAAACTATAGAACTTTAAAACGTGGAAAATGCAAACATTCAAAAAAATCTTCCTTTAAAACATGTAATAAACTAAGACGAGAATGACGTGGTAGTCTTTCAACAACGAGCATGCAATAATAGTAGAGATCATCAGAACCAAACCCTTTGGACTGCTGCAGCGTCTAGCACCATAAACCTGCAAGTTAAAAAATTACAGTGAATAAGAGTGGAATAAAATACAAATTCAGTAAAATTAATGTTAAGGGGTTTACACAAACCATTGTTATATTGCTATATCACAAGTGGTTCTGTTATGTCCTTCTTGGCCACAACGGCTACTCTTATGTCTCTTTGACCCTTGTGATCTTTGTGATGATATTATTTTGTCTACAGTTGTTTCATGTCTTCGCTTTCTTCGTCTACCTGGATGTCTTCTTGTTTCTGGTGGTTGAACGATTGCATCTTCAACATCTTTCGGGACACACCAATCTCGTTCGGGAACACCTATTGGGTTAATAGTTTCCTCGTAATGTGATCTCCATGCTGTCGTCGTAAAAACATCATCAGCATAAGGATATAGATCCTTTCCTATATCAAAAGCTGCTTTGATAGCGTGCCTGCAAGGAATTTTCCATATCTCGAACTTCCCACATGAACATGTTCTTTTTTCTAAATCAACAACATACTCTTCTCCATTACCTTTAACCTGCAACACATTTCTGGTAATCGGATATGCTTTCAAATATTTTTCTTTCTCTATTCTTCTTGAAATCTTTGTCTCCACCGCAACAGTTAAAGGATCTTGATGTTTTGCACTTAATTCTCTACTCTCATAAAACCATCGTGTTAGCATTTATCTGATGCTGTCTAACAAAGGAATTATAGGATACTCTCTCGGTGATCTCAAAGCTGCATTGATCGTTTCTGCTGCGTTGTTGGTGTTAATATCATACCTACAACCAGGAAAATGACAACGAGCCCATTTTTTCACATCAGCATCCTCTAAATATCTTCCAATCGAGGGACTAATACTATTTATTCGCGCTAACTGTTTCTCAAACTCAGCAACTCTATAAGCTTTAGACGCTTTTGCAACCATACCAGCCACACCTTTTCCTTTGTTATATGTTATCACATTAGTAATCAAGTGGTGGATGCAAATACCATGTTTAGCCAATGGGTAGATGTTCCCTATCGATTTACCAATGGACATATGTCTATCTGATACAAAAACTAAACCTTCTTCATCCGTTATAACCATCTTAAGTTGCAAAAAAAACCACTCCCACGAACAATCATTCTCGGAATCAGCAATTCCAACTGCCATTGGATACAAATTAGAGTTACCATCAACAGTTGTAGCAACTAATAGAACTCCTTTGTACTTGCTCTTCAAAAATGTACCGTCAACTACTATCACTTTCGGAAATGCCTTGTAAAACCCTCTTATTGATTGACCAAAAGATATAAATAGATATTTGAATCTACCATCGCAATCAATTTGATAATTCGTGTACGTACCAGGATTCGCTTCTTTCAACATGTGCAAGTATTTTGGAATCTTCCCATAGCTTCTCTCAGGAATTCCACTAACTTCGTTAACTGCATACTCACGAGCTTCCCAAGCTTATGAATAAGTAAGCTCGCATCCATACGATGTACGAATCAGATTAATTATATCATTCGGTTTAGGACCTTCCTTCACACCCTCATACTGCTGCATAATGAGATGACCAACTGTTTTCGCAGATGGCGTCCTACAGAATGCACTTTTTTTTGATGGAGCACATGTATGGTTACCCACATATTTGTTGATTTTTAAATATGTAGATCCCTCTAAACACTCAGCACGAATACTCCATTCGCAAACACTTTCTATGCAGCGAATAGACCACCATCTCTTAGTAGATTTTGAAACTTTGTAGTCGCAGTTATATTTCATCGCATACATTTCCATAGTTGCCTGTAAAGCTTCCTTACTGCTGAAGTATTGCACAATCTTTACCACTGGATCTATCAACTGTGAACTGACACCATCACCAGTATTAGCATCGTTTGGTTTTTTTTCTAAATCCTCATTCACCATCAACTGTTTCACGATACTAGCATCGTCTCCTACACTTGAAACATGAGGCTCCTTATTCAAATCGAATTGGACTCTACTCGTACGATCATTAACTACCTCTTTGAACGTGACACACAACCGAATCAGATTTTTGTTTCTAACATATGCAAAAAAGTTTTTCATTCCTCTATCATTCATCAACACAACCGGAGGAGAACCAACGCTAAGCTCTGAGGGTAAATAACTGAATTCCACATCAAACATACTTTGTTCTATTCCATAGTCTTCTGAATTCAGCACCTTCAACTCTTCAAAAGATGTATTGGATTGCAAAGTAACTAATCTCGCACGTCTTACTTCATCATCAATAAATCCCCACTGCTTAGTAGCATCTAATCTCCATAAACCACAAGTAACATAGATTTGCAGCATAATTAAAAGAAAAAACTCAACAACTCTAAGAATGGAGAAAAGAAAGAAGAAGAAGCCGTGACTATAGTTTAAAGTTTAAAGTGTACGATTATGTGAAAAAATCATGTATATTTTTGGTTTGGTAATGTAAATATATATACATATGACCACAAATGGCCATTCATTTAACATCAACTATATGTTAACCAGACTTTGATATTGTATAGCATAATTATATATTTAAACTATAATTAAATGGATCTTAAAACGTAAATAAAAAATTATTATAATATATTGTGTTAAAAGAATTAGATTTTTTTGTGGAAATAATTTATATAATTTTATTTTAAAAGGAAAAGAGGAGGAAAGAGTAAATAAATAGCGGGACATGCTATCGGCTCGTATGCAACAACTGCTTTTGAAAGTGAACTACATACATTAATTATTGCTATGCAACATGCTTGGAGCAGAGGTCTTCGAAGAGACATATTTGAAGGTGATAACAAGAAGGTTGCAGAGTTAATGAATGGTAAAGCTCTAAATTTTGGTTGTTTCAACTGGATTCGAGAAGCAAGGATTTCGCAGGAAAGGTTTGATGAAGTCCAATTCACCTGGACACCTCGAGCAAATAATAAATCGGCTGATCTATTGGCTAAGCGAAGACCACCAAATAATTCTCTTTGTTATTACTATTCTCATATCCCTCTTTTGATACAAAACACTATGAATTGTAATCTTAATTGATCAATTAATATAAGTTTGCCGTTAAAAAAAAAAAAAGGAAAAATAGTAAAAAAAACTGAGTGTTTTAAAATGGAAGGTAATTCTGTCTTTTTTTTTATGCTAGAGTGTAAAAGTAACTCGAAAATGGTGCATAAACTTGAAAAAATGTTAATATGTAAGATAAGAGCATCTTTAATGCAAGTATCTTAAAAATTGATTTTATGATTAGTTTAGTAATATAATTGAAAAAAGTTAAGTTAAGAGATGTAATTAAGTTTTTTTGTTTTTATGTAGCATTATTGGTAGATTCTTAAATTGTGTATCCTAGGATAAAAATATTAATTAAAAAATGAAATTAACAATTTTAATTATAAAAACTTAATAAATATTGCAAAATAATTTTTTTTTAAACATAACTAGAAAAAATGTGCTCTCATGGGCGACTGTTTGGGCGATCATGGCCCTTCTCCTTACGTTGGTGTCGGTTTGTGTCTTCTGTCGACGATTTCAACATATTCTCCATGAGATCTGGCTTTCCTACTCATCACATGATTGGTTAGGTTGTTCAGATTTTGTCATCACTTTGGAACCAACGACACTTGTTCGAACAAATCATGATCCAACGTCAAGTGAGAGTTACCATCATCACCATGAAGTAACAGATCTTGTCGCAAACAACATAGACACTGTTAGATTAAGCGGAATAACAAGAGAGAGATGCTAGATTTGAGTAACAAGAATAAGAAAGAGATTGGGAGAGAAGATGAATAGTAACCAAGAATAGAAAAGAGAGAGAAATTACTCTTCTTACTTTGTTAGGTTTACAACCACACATATAAATAAGTGGGATAAGAGATAAGCTTACAAGGGAAGCTAACAATATGTGACTAACACCCCTTATAAAGTACCTTATAAAGTACTTTATAAGGTACTTTATAATGGTCTATTCTATCTGTACTTTATAAGGTACTTTATAATGGTCTATTCTATCTTGACATACTTAATAAGATCTTGATCAATACTCCCCCTCAAGCTTAGCTTAATGAAATGGCTAAGCTTGGAACCCGTGAAGCATCACCTCATTAAAAACCTTAGTATAGAAAACCTCATGGGACAAAACTATACTAAGGGAAAAAGAGTGTGATGTCCACAGATTAGAGAAGTTGATCAAGGGCGTGAAAGGTCCACAAGTCCAAGTT